AACAAGCAACAAGTCTTCTATTCGTCATGAAAACAGCAATAAATCAGTGAAACAGCAGTTGCCGTCCTGTCCTGTTTCTTTCCTCACATCTTCCCTTATCCCACTGTCATGACTCTTTGGTCATAGTTACAGTTACAGGAAGCGGAATTTCTTGGGTTTTTTTCTGGGAACAGGCCAAAATCAATGCGCGCGTGGACGCCATACGTACAAGTTACTTGGTGTGGCCCAACTGCGATAACAATTCAAAGCCCCCAACTCTCCCGGGCCGGACGTGAATATAGGGCAGACGAGGGGCGATTGCCGAGGTAAAGTGGTCTGGAGAATAGAAAGGCTTTGCTAAGCTATAGTGGCGTCGTGTGGCGTAATGGTAGGGCTTTTGGTCCGGAACCCATGGGTCCTGGGTTCGATTCCACCTACGTTGTACGGTAACTTGTACCGTTGGAAAAAGCACTTTACACAACTTTCCCCCAATATGCCATTTATTGCCGATTTCTTGAGTCTTGAGTATAGAGGTATGAAATACCTTTAATGTACATTATTTTATGCTCTTACAAGCTAAGTACACGTCAAGTGTAAAGCACAGAAATATCTGTGGCCGGTAAAACAGCCCTATATAAGCCGACCTGTGGGGAAATGTAACTAGGCCATTCTAGCCATTGTCTGGAGCTTTTTCAGTGAAATCCCAGGCCGTTCCGTCCATCCCCCGGTGGCGGGTTGGAGCTATTCACACGTTACTGGTGTCGGCGCCGCGTGTCTGGTGCAGAGGAGACACGGCGACTCTGGGACGGAAGGGGAGAAGAACTGGCCTTTCTATAGTGGCAGATTTAGCCACTTCTTATGTACCTGTTAATGGAAAAGTGCTCCATTTGCATAACGCGTGGTCAAAATAGGACAGTTGCATCAATACTACACTCTTTGAAGAGAAAAAGAACCCATTCAGTTGCTAAGGTGACGTACAAAATGAACCGCAGATTCATTTCATTACTAGTTTTCACCTGTGGTGCTGCAATACCATCGTATTCTGGCAGGTGGCGTTATGCGTGTGTTTGACTGTTCCTTTTTTTTTTTTATTCTTCCCCAGGAAGGGTAATCCACTGTATGAGAAGACTGGAGAAGTTGATGCGAGAAACGTGCCACATGGCGAAGGGAACAAATTTGCTGACGGTACATTCTCAGTTTTTGTCTGAAAAAACATTTCTGTACTCATTTGTAACTTTGTGATGTTTGTGAAAATGTTTAACATTCAACTAATTAATTAATTTAACTATTTACAGGTTCATATTTAATTATTCAAACGATGAAATAAGTTATTTGATCTCATCAGGAATTATTAGGGGAGTTTGATATAGTCTTCAGTACATTATCTTACATGTTGTCCAACATAACGAATTTCTCTCCAGAATCTGTTTGATCAGGTCATTTTTAATCATGATCACCTGTATTACATAATTTCCCCTTCTTGCTTTTCCCGGCGTTACCATACGAATACAGAACGGACATGCTATGCGATGGTTGAAATTCTGACACTTATTTTGCGACTTATTTTCCATTTTTGAAGACCAACAAGTGGTTTTAGTGCACGATGATACCAATATAAATGTACAAACTAAACACATGGTCGTCGGAGCGAGGTGTCACTACATGGGAAAAGGGGTATTTTTAGTTTTAGGTGCTCTCAAAACCTACTCCTTCCCATAAACAAAACTGCTCGCTACCTGAGCTGGGCTTTAGTTGCAAAGTTGCCAATTTCATGCTCCACCATGTTGTGGCTATGTTCGCCTAGTGTTTTCGGTTTTTACTGAAACCTAGGTGATCGGCTGGCCGGGCGAAATTGCTGAGGACGGGCTCGCCTTATGACTAGTCCTAGGAGGGCAGGCCTGTCTGTTGATAGCAAAGACGCCTGGCCTTGGTTGGGAGCGAAAAAGAAACTAAAGTGTCTGACTTCCATTTGTGTCATGTTTGCACACGCACAAGCACACTAACGTACTAACCTGGGGAGCGAGTAGCAAACCTTCACGTGGTGCTCCCTGTTAATCCCTCACGGGAGACCGATTGCTACATCACCTACTAACTGCAACATTTACAAAAAGTTGAGGGATAAAGAAGTCATTTCACTGAATGTAAATAAATCAGAAGGCTTAACGAAATACTAGCATCGCACAATTGGGAATATTCCGTCCCTGAAACTCTGTTCAGCAAGATACAGACTTTCTTAAAAACTTAACTTTACGGAGGATCGGAGGAAAGTATTTTAGCTGTATCGCCAAAACTCAATCTATTGAAACAAGGTGAGCTACTTTATAGAATATTATTTTTCAAAAGGATGCCCCAAGTAAATTGCAGTGAGAGGTCGAAATATTTCTGTTAGGGAGGCAATTCATGACAGGAAGAGACAGCCAGAAAAACTTGATGATTTTGCCACGTAACGTCTGCTTGGAGATAAGAGAGCTATTGATAAATTGCATTGTATATGTTAATATTGACATTTTGTACACTTTATGATGAGAAGTAAAAAAAGATATATTTTCTCAAGCAGAATGATTGCACAGTGTCCAATAAAAAAATGTTGTAACAAGTCTGAAAGATGTATGTTTGTGACTTATTTGGATAATAAGGATAGATTTGGGTAGTAGTCATCAGGAAGAAGTGTAGAAATATCCATGACGTATGGCTCAAAAGTGCCGCCTAACGGCCAAAAATATCATTGCAGAAAAGCAGGCTCATCACTGAGTCATTTAACATAGCAGTAGGGATAATTCAACGTTTCAGCGGTTTATTAGTCCGGCGAACATAACTTGTATTATTTGGGTAATCAGGATTAAAAAGACATTGTCACGGCCAACGCTCACACGGTCTTAATTTAGCGCCGCCCAGTGACGTATTACGGTACTGCAGTCGCTGAAATCTGCCGTCACAACCAGTATGCACTTGACCGTCCGGCGAGCATAACTTATACTATTTGGGTAATCAGGTTGTGAAACGACCAAATTTCCCCCCGGTTACTCACTCACTCACTCAAGGCCGCATGCTTCCATGGGGAGCGTAGCGCCTCGGCATATGGATCTCCAGGTGTTCCCCGGTTACCACCAAAGCATTTGACGCGGACAAGGTTCTCAATTTAGCGCCGCACAGTGATGAGTTTCAGTACTGCAGGCACTGACATCTACCGTCAAAACCAACACGCATCTAACCGTTAGGCGGACATAACTTGTACGATGTGGGTAATCAAGGAATAAAAAAAGACGACCAAAAGTTAGCCTGTTTACTACCAGTCAGCGAAACTACGTAGTCAGGAAAACCTCTCGATTTCTCCTTTCCAAAGCCTCATCCTTCCTTCACAACTGCACATGTTACCGGTAACATATGTGAGGTTGTGAAGGAAGGATGAGGAGAAGTGACGTAACCGACCGGGTTGTGATGTCAACCGCCTATCCAAGTGTCTCATGAGGTGAGTGTCAGCCTTCTTTTATTTATTTCACGATTAAAGGCTAAGAAAATGATCCAAGTAAGCACTAAGATGCTACTTTATCTCTATGCATATATATAAAGCATAATTTGCCTCAATGTCATATATGATCATACACTATCATGTATCACATTCAAGAATGCTACTTGAAACGCCTGCACCTGGCAGTTTTTAATATCTAGCCAGCTGCTTTATACACTGTTTTTTTGTGTACCTCATTAATGATCATTAATGTTATACCTGAACGTCTAACCTTAATCGATGTAGGTACAAAATAACATGATGTGTTTATGATGTGTTATTTTTTTGTTGTTATAAATATGTGGCCTCTGATCTGCTTCATTTACATGATACAGTGTATATATTGTGATATATATTAATAGTTTTGTGAGGTGAAGTGTTATGAACTCATAGAATCTGATATATATTGTTTCATAATGCTTACTCATGGGTTGTATCTTCACTTGGGCCAAACTCCTGCCTGTATTGATAGTATGCACACTGCAGTGCCCATGGATCCATAAGCATACAGATTGAAAACCTGGGTGCAAAGTGATGCACCTAGGGGCTGGATGGACTCCCTCGTGTGTGGTGGCAACTGGTCCTTAACCATTATAATGATACTTCAGTCTTTTCTAAGTGTGTACCCAACATTTACAGAAATAATACTGATGGAACTTTTTTTGGTTCAAGGACTACACATGCACATTAGTTTCCATCTCCATACATGATATGTGTATAGGGCCTTTCTATATATTACCAGTTTGCTAATTCTTGGTGTCCATGAGATCATTCTGATGATCAGTAAACATTGTGTGTTTGGAAGGGATTAGAAAAAGAAACATAGTAGGTGTTAGAGGTCCTTGATCAGATGCAGACACACAAAGCATTGAGTGATTTATTCAGAATCGGATACATAATTGGAGAGACATCATAGCTGTCACCTTATCATGAGGATGAATTGAAATGACTGTACTTGGGTACGCAATTTCTAAACACATTTTAGACTTAACACTTTAGATCCAACACAAAAAATTCTCTCACCTATAAGAGCTTTCGACCAGTCTGGTCATCCTCAGTAGACTGACCCAGTGGGGCTCGACTCACATGTTTTGTGTTGGATCTAAATTGTTTAACTCTAAACATGTAACTACCAACACAGATTCATGAACTTTCATCATGATGATAACTTCTGAACACCACAATGCCAGCAGGACAATGTAATGTATGAAGTTACCTAAGAGTTTGTAATATTTAACTACAGATGTACTATTCAACTAACTGCTGATGGTGCACTTCATTACTTAGTACATTGATTAGCGCGATCTTGGTTATTACTGTTTCTCTTGGGTTCCAACAAAGAATCGCTTTTAAAGCCATCTAACCAGCAGCAGGACTGCTTTCATGGTTTTAAATAATATCCAGACGGTTCCAAATAACTTATGAGGCAAGAAAATGGCTAAACACATCAAATTACATTTGCTACACTATAGCATTCTTTAATGAGAACAACTTCACTGAATCAAAACTGCGAGCCAACTGCACTACACACATATATTAATTTATCATGCAGCCATAATTGATAAAAGGACAGAGGTCCGTCTCAAGCTCAAGTGCTATTCAGGTGTCCCAGGCAGGCTGATGAACTCTTGATCTTCTGAGGCATCGGGTGCAGTTTTGCCTGTAGCCGCTGGGGGGAGCACCAGTTGTGGCTCCAGCTTCTTGCTGACAGGCTCTTCATCCTCAAGTTCCTGCAACACAAGGGTTGGACTAACAGTATTAATGGCCTTTGACTTGAACATTTTCAAACTTCCTATCCTATAGTATATCAGCACGTCGGCAAAACGTACTGCGCCTGCGCGGAACCCTGTATTTTCACGATTTTCGTCGGATTTTTGGTCAACGTTGCATCAGAATTTTGCCTGTTGCAAAGGATATCTTTTCCTACGTAACATTTGGAAACTACAGACGGGATGTTAACCTTATATGCGCTAGTACGACCTTATATGAGACCTTCTGCCGAAGTGCTATGTACAATACATTACGATTTTCGCACAGGTGCAGTACGTTCTACCGACGTGCTTAGTATATCCAAGAAATATCATGCAATGTTGAACACATTTGAAAATGGATTATGGACAGAAACAATTAAGCAAGCCTATAACCTGCCAACATGCTACATGTAAATTACATTGCAGTCATGGTAGGCACAGAAGAGTACTAGTAGGAACATGCCACGGTACATGCAATGGTGAACTCAAAGAAGAATCATCGGCCTCCTCCCGAGGGGATTAACTTGAATATTAAGTAATAAGAGTAACTTCTGTATCTGTATCAGTCTAGCCGGTATAACCACCCTTCGGTGTAACTTGGGTAACTTAGGAATAAAACTTAAATAATAAGAATAATTTGTGAAATGGGAATTTACCACAGGATGGAACTCCACCTCCTCAACATCCTCCTCCCAGACCTTCTTCACATTGTCGAAGTTCTTCTGTCCGTCTGTGACGTTCATGGTCTCATACGCTGGGTTTAGGATTGCGTTTGAAGGCACCGCTGACCCACTGGGCTTGGTCAAACGATTAAGTGAATCCTGGCTTCCAGTCCTGGAATTTTAAAGGGAATTTTTATTGTCATCGTCATCTCTTGTCCTCTGATTATGCCCATCTGTCTATGGCTTAAAACTGTTGACTGACAGGCAGACTAGCTTTATACCTCAAAATAACTCGCACACTGAACATACATGTAGATTGCCACATACAGGCATAAACCTCTAAGAGCTTGCACCAAAGGGTAATGCCAGAAGAGCTACAAGAATGGATACAACTACATGTATATACCACTCTATCATGTAGTACACCCACAGTAAGAAGGTTTAAGGGATCATGGCAGATACATCATTGTTGTCCTCCAATGGGGTCACAGTGTCAGCCTTTGCACTACTTCCTTCAACATGGTTCTCATGGGAATTTTCTACATCTATACTAGTACCCCTATACCGATAGGTAAGGAAGATATACTTACAGGCTCTGACTGACTTTAAGTGCCTCATCCTTTTTCTTCTTCCACACCCTGAAGATGACAATGAGGATGATCAGGGCCACCAGACAGCCGACTGTGATGCCCACAATCTCCCAAACCGTCAGGCTGTCACATGGCCAGCCGGGTTCACAGTGGCAGACATAACTGTTGACTTGGTCGATGCAGGTGTAGTTCTTTGGGCAGGGGTCAGGAATGCAGTCATTGGGGTTGATCTCGCAGTACCTTGTTATTCAGGAAGAAAAAGACATTAAGTGCACGACAATTGTAAGGGATACAACGTATGGCAAAGTTAGTAATATAAGTGATGCTAACATTGCTAAGAGGTGACTGTGAGTTCTACCTTTTCTAAGAAGCCGATCTACATAAAATAATTGATGTTATCAATGCTAAATGTGCATTTTTTTACTCTCCAAAACCTAGCAAATAACAATTCCGGCTATATTTTTAATGTAATATTGACATTGAAGAGTAGTGGTTGTATAATGTCAATAATTGGAGGTTCCTTAAATAAACAAACAAACAAACAAACAAACACACCTTCCCTCAAAGCCCACCGTGCAGTTGCACATGTAGCCGTCAAAACCGTCACTGCGGGACTGGTCTTTGCAATCGGGATCGCTCTGGGGTCCAACACACTTTCCGCCATTCAGGCAACGGTTTTCCATGACGTGGATGACCACAGTCACGAGTTTGGACCTCGCTCCCGACGCATCTTCAGCGTAGATCTTCACTGCGTCCTCCCCGAAGAAGTGTTGGTTTGGAGTGTACGTTATTGCTGCCACGGCCCAGTTCATGGTGTCTGCTGAGTGCGGGAGTACTATCCCACACGGGTACGGGATAGCAGGGCCCGCCCAGGACTTGTTGAACACATCCGCCCATTCCCTTCTCTTCCCTTCCACGGGCATTGTACACTTTGGTTCTTTGAATGTGATTTTCTTCACATGCTTGCCGACCACAATCGTACCGTTAGAAGGTGCCTTGATGTGTAGCGTCATCGCATCGTTGGCATCAACGTCAAAGGATCCTGCCACAAACTTCAACACTTCGAAGTCGACGTTGTCAGGATGGTTTTCTTCCACAGTCAGGTGGATGATACCCGATCCCTGTAGCTTCTCCTCTCCCTCATGGACCACAAACGGCTGAGGATTGTCGTTTTCTTCCATGACGTCTATGTTGATGGTAACGGTGGTGGATAGTAGAGGGTTGCTGTCCGTGCGAGACTCGGAGATGGTTATAGGGATCTCTCTGGTTCCGGAGAAGTCCAGGGCTGGTTTGTACCGCAGCGTGCCTTGTTTGTCCAACTCGACAAGATCTCCAAACTCCTGCTGAGTTAATGCAAATGAAAGCAGCTTTGAGTCAACCAGACATATACCAAAACTTGGAGAACAATACATGTACCTACTAGTAATAAATATGTAGGAGTTTTGAAATACACTTGAACATAAGGAGCTCCTGTGGTTTTTGACACATGTGGCAGTCAGAGCAAGTTCGGTCTCTCTACATACAGTAGCCAGCTCAAAAGCCGCTTGCGAATGATTATTGTGACACTGGTTGTTGATTGGTTCTAGTTGTTAAATCTATGTTGAGTATGAAGCCATCCTATTGATAGACTGAAAGCAAAAGAAGCTTTGATCAAAACATTTACCGGTTGGTCATTCAGCATGAAGACTAGGTCATCATCCTCTGGGTCTTTGGCAATGAGTCGAGTAATCAGAGTTCCCTCATCTTCTCCCATGGACATGCGCAGTGGAGACAGCAGGATGGGCGGTTCATTCTGGAAGGTGCCGTTAATGATGACGACAGCGAGCTGTGACGTGCCGGAGAAGTAACGCTGAACGCTGCGGCGGCTGCGATGGCCTTGTGCTGCTGCGGTAGAGCAAAGCTGAGGAAGAAAGAAATTTTGCAACATTAGATTTTACAAGAAAGCCTTGTAAACATGTGCCAATGGGCAGCCCATATCTTGCAACATTGTCAACTGCTTTTTTCCAAGTCCGCTTGGCAGAAGTGTTTTCTTGTGCATTACTTACGTTTGACAGTTTGGTACCAAAGATTCTCAATACATGTACTGTCATATAGGGATTACCTTTACTGTGAACAGCCCCTTTTGCCAGTTGTAATCCACTGCTCCAGTAATGTCTGTACAGGTCCCTTGGACATCTCTCCAAATTTCAGATTCTGTGTGAAACAGTAGGGTATGTAATAACCTGAACAGAACAACAGGATACTCTACGGAACGGATGTACTAAACAACTAAAATTGAATTTTGCATGTTTCAAAATATTTGAGATTTGAAATGACATCTTAGGTTTCACCCTACTCCTGATCCATAATGAAATCAGTTACCTGGGTCCCAGAACACCATCCTTGGTATTTCATTCCTCAGTAGTGCGGATTCATTGTAAGTTGCGGTGACTGTTAACGGCGCATCAACCTCGTCACCGCCGATGGACGACACGAAGAACGATTGACCGTACTCTTTTCGAACCCTGTATGATAGACATTGAGTTTGCTGAGTTATATTTTCAATGTCTTGTCATGGTTAGCATTGCGGATAACAGGATGTGAAACCTGTCCTTGGTGCTGAACACTATCCACACACGGGTGAACATACCTGTCCTTGGTGCTGAACACCATCCACACACAGACAAACATACCTGTCCTTGGTGCTGAACACCATCCACACACAGGTAAACATGCCTGTCCTTGGTGCTGAACACCATCCACACACAGGCAAACATACCTGTCCTTGGTGCTGAACACCATTCACAAACAGGCAAACATGCCTGTCCTTGGTGCTGAACACCATCTACACACATGCAGGCCTGTTCTAGGTGCTGAACACCATCCACACATAGCTATAACAATCCTGTCCTTGGTGCTGAACACCACCCACACATAGTTAAAATGACCATGTACCTGCATGTAAGTACTTTTACATTTCTCCTCAACAACATCATCCAACGAGACGTACCTGTTTTTGAGGAATCTGTCCGTCTGGTGTATGGTAAATGCAGGGTTGGAGATGAAAGGTCTATTGGAAGTGTACGTCATAGATACGTCATTGTCAGTCAGGATGCCGGCTCCTACAGCTCCAGGCTTAAGCACACCAGTGTCTTCACCTGTTGGAAAGTGTTACACTATCAGTATGGATCGCTCACGAACATTTCTTGAATAGCCATTGCCTCTCCATAAAGGCTACTTCTTCTGAAAATGTTGAAAGATGGAAATATGTAGAATACATGTACATCCCTCCCCATTTTAGGATCTGATTGTCTTTACATGTATGTGCAAAATCAAGGTAGTAATATATGGCATACAATGCAAACATATTTGTGTATTAGACACAGACTGAGAAGGATATAAGAAGATTACCTTGATATTTTGCAATGATGATGGTTGAGTTCTCAGACTCGTTCCCATCTGCCAGTTCTATGTCTTCAGTGGACCCATTCTTGAAAGTCAGCACCTTGTCCTGGGCTCCTGATATGTCACAAACAAGTCTTTAGTAAGACAAGCAAAAAAGAAAGAACATGTAATATAGGAAGGCCTTCAAGATGGTACGGATTGATGTCAGTTATAAAGAAGCTGTCTTGAACATTTTAGATTCAAAAGGTGCTTAGTAGGATATTCTTGCACTTACTCAGTATTGTTCGTTTCTTGACGGCAATGTCTGCACACTTATGTCCGGCATGGCAAGCAGTCAGTCTTGTAAACAATGTCCTGTAAAAGAATACAAGCAATACAAGAAAACAATTTAAGGTTCTTTGTATATCAGCTGTGTCTGCATCTGTTTCTATCTTTACAGCCGGTATAACCGCCTTTTGGCTTAACACACGAGCTTCACAGGCAGGCGACGTGGCAGTAGCTGGCTAACATTACACTAAACGACTTGTTACCCCTAACCCTTCAACATTCTATCTAATGATATTGCTCCTACTTGGTGTAAATGCTCTGTAAAGGCATCAAAGGCACCGTGATCACAAGGAATATGAAGTATAAACAAGATATTTTACCTGCCAGGTTCCACGTGGAACTTATGATGTGTCTTGACGCTTGGCCCGTCTTCACGACTGCGCAGGTCCGAAATGTTGACCTTTGACCGCCCAAACGCCAGCTCTCCCCGGATGACCTGCACCCAGCCTGACTCGTTATACCCCACCTGTGTCTGGGGGATGACGTCACCGGGGCTGTCCTCTGACGTCCCCACACTGAACACTGCAATTGAATATGTAATATTCAACTCTGTGCTCTACAGTGACCTTCAGAGAATCTCCAAAAAGATGGGGAAGCGGAGAATGGAGCTGGCTGGACACAGCATCCGACACCCCGAGCTGTTAGCCAGCCAGCTCATCCTGTGGGAGCCAAGAGAGGGGGCAGAAGGAGAACAACCTACATTGACACGCTGAAGCGGGATGTTGGACTCAGGGACATATCAACTTCTGAGCTCTGCTCACTGATGGAGGACAGAGAGGAGTGGAGGAGAAGGACCCACTGTTTTGCCGTGATGACATCCCCCCAAAATGTCCACATTCAAGGTTCAAGGTTCAAGGTACATGTTTAATTATGTAGTGCACTTGGTGACTGGCATATCTAGCTCCTATGCTTACACTGCAAGAATATTGTATACAGTTGTATACATAGAATGTACATGTAATACACTTGATGACAGGCATTCCTAATTCTTATACCCTCTTTCTTTGAAGGCTGGTTAGATTTCAAGTAGTAAGATGATATGCCTGGCGTAATGCACATTGACATTTATAAAGATACTGAAACGTTGTGCATAAACTTGCTCTTTTACAACCAAGTCCTTGTAAGTAAAAAGTTGTACATAGGATAAAGTAAGGCATGGAACAAACTAATTTTGAACGATTCCTATAATATGGACTCTATCTACTAGTAGGCATTAGTAGGTAAGTGAGAAGATAGAAGCTTACCATAATTATTGACAGAGTCGTCCTCCACCCTTGTCCAGGCAATGTCAATCTTCTCCTGATCCCCACACAGGTCCACACCTCCCAATGTTGAGTTTGTCTCCACAGTATGTTCACAGGAGGTGGTGATGTTACTGCTACTGGTGTTGGGAGGGTCAAGCAGCACTGTCACTCCTGTATGGATATGAAATAATTCAAGTCATTTTCTTTCTCTCTTTGATGTAGAGCATCAATGTTGCGAGAACAGCAGATCATACAGAGCAGCTACGATGGCCACAGATAAAAAGAAGACCAACGTAAGTACATGTACATTACTGGTATCAAAGCAAATAAAGGAGGATTTTTCCCCAATGCTTGAATTATTATTAGCATAAAACTGTAAGTCCAAAAATATGTTAAAAAGAAATTATTATTTGATATCTAGATGAATAACTCTGCTGTTACCTGTGCCTCATCAACATTAAGACCTAATTCACATTATCAGAATCAAAACCAGTTTACTATCTCTACAATATGATTACATATCCCACTATAAATTTCCAACTTACAACATACAAACAAAATGCCCCAAAATGGGAAAATCATTACTGACCAGTTGTAGTTTTCTCGCTGACCAGACCTGCACCGTTGACCAGTCTCACGGTGACGTAATACGTCTGTCTGTTGCTGAGCTTTCCCTCTAACTTGTTGTTGTAGACTAAGTTCTGTTCTGGTCCGACCGATGTGAAGTTTTGGACATCTGTTTGCCCTGGGCTTGTGCCAACTGCCCATTGGCACTCCACTACCTGTGAAAGGCATTTGTATTAAATACAAACATGTTTTCATTGGTACTCAGAGCATTTAGCATGTAAGAAAATACAGGGTCTCCAGCATTTGAAAAATGTCTGTCCAGTTTGCTTAGAGGAGGTATAGTGGTGGTTTATATTTCATGGGGTATGTGCAAATTGATGACATTGTTCTATATGAGTGTGTGGACTGGCGAAAGACTGGTATAGAGGGGTGCCACTGGCAGATGCTGAGGATCTGGCCAAAGATCGAGCAGAACAGAGGAAACTTGCTGCCCAATGTGCTATCCACTGGAGGAACTAAGGCTAAGGTATGGTTTTATATGTTATGTTATCATCATGGTAAGGTATAGCATAGCATAGTTCATATAGTGTGGTTTGGAACAGTGTAAATAGTTTATCGTACCTCGCTCTCTTTATCGTAGGCCTCCCAGTACACAGCGATGGTGCTGTTGTCCCCCTGGTATCTAGTGGGCTCATCCGGTGACCAGGACAGGTCCACGTGGAACAGGTTCTCTATAACAGGCGGTGTGACGTCGATGTAGATCCCGTTAGACGACGCAATGGCCGCCCTGCCAGAACCTGGTGGTCACAGAGATATCACGGGGGTAAGTTACAGGTATATAGGGTCGTATATATAGAATACATCACGGGGTATTCCGTATCGCCCGAGGTACTTAGTCTAGTATTTGCCCGACCGCGGGTCGGATCGCCCGACTGCCGCAGGCCAGAGGGTGATCCGACTCGCGGGAAGGCCAGGACCGAGGGCGACGCGGAATACACCGTGTTGTATTTTATTTATGTCATACCCACCCAAGAAAACACGCCTTTCAATGCAAGCTGAGCCAAAAGTTGGTGCCCCCAAATCCTCAGATGCAACAACATCAGTTCCAACGTTCGGGTTCTGTATTCGAAGTTTCAAAAGCGGCACACGTGGTTAGGGAGAAACGCGTTCGAATCATTCTATGGAAGCCATGGAGCCTGGGCCGCACCGTAAAGTATGGCCCGGTCCGGAACCCGTTATTGAACGTTATCGCGGCCCAGGTATGATATAAAGTTCGGTACAGAGATATCGCAGGGGTAAGTTACAGGTATATTTCTGTTTCCTGTTTTTGGCATCAATCTCTTGTCAGTATAGCAACACTGTCAATAGCCGTGAACAAATATTGTGCACTGTCCTGTTTATATACATGTGGTCTTTCAAATGGCAAGTGTGCAGCCCCTGCAATGCGAGCGCTTTAGGTAGTAGAAAGAGTTTGATATGCCAAAAATGTTCTATATACCAGAAGTGAGTTTTTTTACAGGCATATTATTAGTCTTTTTCACCAACACACTTTACTTTATTAAATTGAAATTGTTGTTACAGTAATAGATAATTATGTAAATCCTCTACCCACCCACCTACCTAAGTTCTTTCTAAAACAGTGGCTCAAAGGTTCTGTATTATGTGTAGCTACTTCACATAATACATAACAGTGATGTTAATGCTTGATAAAAAAAAAAAAAAATCATTGCACGACAACCTACCAGCCACTGCTCTGACAGTAAGGTAGTACACAGCCTGTACTGTAGTGTTGGAGTCTGGTACAGATAACAGCGGTGGCAGGTTCAGCCCTGTGAGATGGATCTGGTGTACATACGTCTTGTCCTCGTCACAATCAGGATCACAGCCCAGCACGTCGCACCGCACAGAGCATGGGATACACGGCTTGGAGACCTGATGGGCAGACAAAAAGTATTTGCTATAGAACAAACTACTGTTTTTAGATCTGTTGAACTGACATGCAGCCTAGCTATACCACATACATGTAACAAGGTTGCGTGTTTATTTCATGCATGACTGCGCAATCTGGTGGGTAGACAGAAGATGTCAGTCATTGCCGAAGAGTCGACATTACGGAAAGAAGAATTAGAACAAACTGCAGCCCATTTTAGACCTGTTGAACTAATATGCAGCCTTGCTATACCACATACATGTAACAAGACTGTGTGTTTATTTCATGCACGACTTTGCAATCTTGTGGGTAGACAAAAGATCATTGTCTTGTAGAAAAATGTAAAGCAATATGGCAATACTGAATAGATGGCATGAACCAATATTTCGCCTAGCTTCTAAGTACCATTAATAAAGTGTGCATTTTTTTTCATGTCGTCGGTAAATATGCGCATCCACAGCCATATTGGTGTTCTATTTGCACAATAGCACAAATAGAAACCAATATGGCACAGATTTTTTTAAAAACGAACCGGGCAGAGCACGGGATACACGGCTTAGTGACCTGGTGGGTAGGCATTATAGAAAACAGCAATATGACAAAGTTACCCCATCTTTAGACCTGTTACTTTTAACACCCGATACGAACACGATTATACTGATCAGCCTATCTAGTTTTAGATGTGCGTGAATATCTCATGTCGTCTAGTATGCGTGTATATTGCGTGACAAAATGCATTTGTTATAGAACGAACTACAGCGATATTACATGGCTACCCCATATCATGAGAACTCTTGAACACTAAGTGTATTACATGACATATTATTTCATGTCGTCATTATACATATACATCTGCCGCCATATTGGTGTCCTATTGGCATTTCAGTGACTTAAGCACCAATAAAAGCCAATATGGCTGAGTTTGTTGCTATGTAACATCTTATATTGGTCTACATGGAAATGACTAGTAAGGTCACGAATGTGGTCTACAGTATTTTGCTTCCCGCATCGTGTTATTTCTAAACGTTACCTCTCTGAATGGTGCAACGTCGTCCAGCAGTTTGGCCGACCCGACACCGGCCTCAAACCGCACCACCGCGTGGTCGCCATTCCTGAACGGCTTCCCCTGTAAGCACAGGCTGGAGGCTTCTGGTGGGAGGCTGGGGATAAAGAGAGTTCTAATTAAATGATAGACACCGAAACGTCAGCAGGCGCAAATATTATATGTTTGGTTGTGTAGAAGGAAACCCCTATATCCTATACTTTACCAGCCTGATGAAACTATTTTCAGAAATAAATGAGTTTCGATAAAATCAAGGCAATGGTGTGAGGAAGGTAACACTGATGATAGATACCAGAATATTGTCTTTGCTTTCTTTGCAAAAACGAACCTGTACATGTACCATCCTCTATGTTTGAGGGTTGGGACTCTAGTAGTATCAATCTCCATGCCTTCCTATCCTTTCCCCGGCCTTCTGAGTGCAGTTTGCCATTGACTGTCATTTTCAATTCCTGTATGTGTCTCTGCTGATCAACGTTTTATTAGCAAGGGTAAGCTCACTCACAGCTATCTATCCTCACATATACCTTGTCCCCCAACGACCACGAGATCAAGGGACTCTAGGTAGGTGGGTAGGTAGCTCGGTAAGCTCACCATCCTCTTTGCTTACCATACACTGCTTATACTGAATTAGGCACTTAGGAAGACCAACACTTGTAACAAGTAACAGTTTGAAGAAAGGCATGAGATGTACCTAACAGATCGGAATGAGGCGGTTGTTGTCGGTGGTTCAAACGGGTCCACCAACTCAGGAATCCAGTCATGCTTGTTCCAGGTGGTCAGTATCAGCTTGGATGTCGGGCTTAAGGTCGGGATGCCGGTCAGAACTGCCTTGAACTGGCCGTCGATGTACAATCGTACTGATCTGTCAACCTGGGGGTATATGGAAGATAAAAAAGGACATTTTGTTTGTGTAAGGCCTATGACAGTGATATCAAGGCATGTACTGAGGAGTGATTAAAGTTGCTGAGTGATTAGTTTCAGACTTTCACAGCTGTGTAATCATCAAGATCTTAAGAAGCTCTCGTATAATGGCTTTCAATTGCTTGTAGTCCTTCCTGGAGTTCTTCAATTCCACTCCTATATCCATACAACAGAGACCACTGTGAATGGTACGATTTGTGTGTGTGTGTGTGTTCCCTCTGTCTGTCTCTCTCTCTATGTGTGTATGTGTGATGGCGTTCAGTACCAAGGACAGGTATGTTTACCTCTGTGTGTGTTTCTCTCTCTGTCTCTCTCTATGGATATATATATATGTGTGTGTGTGCGTGTGTGTGTGTTTGTTGAAAACCGTTCACAAACCTTGGTTGCAAAGATCTTCTCCTCCATGAACTGTAGTGTGTACTTGTGCCAGGCAGCTGACGGGTCGAAGTCCAGCTTCACAGTTTCTCCCTGTTCCGACTGGGTCCCGTTCGCAAACCGACACCACAGCCCGACGTAGCTGGGATTGTTGGCAGTTTCTGAAGAAATGTAGATAGCACATGGCATAAACTCTGGTGAAACATATTCATGTTTAGCAGTGCCTTGTTATAGAAAGTTTCGATTACATATTCATCACCATTGACAACTGACTCCAGGCCCATACCTGATCGATATCAACCCTTTGATACTGACCAATAGAACAAGTACGATTATAAGCTGGAAATATTTATAACACTAACTCAGTTAACATTTTAGAAACCATTGTTCATGGCGTTAAGCACTATGCATCAAGTTCCATCTATATCTGAGGAGAGGTGCATAAAGGAACGAAGGAGTCTAATTCTTGATTTTGCAAAACACCTCACGAGTAATTGAATTATGGGATGATCATTACCTGAATGAATCTGTAGTCCACACGAAGCATAAGGCGAGCCATGTGAGTTGGGTTCTGTCTCGGGCGTTTCCCCTTCCGTATCACCCTTCTCGATGGACCACCCTGGGGGAGGGTCAGTCGTGCTTGTCGGTTCTTCAGTTGAGTATTGTGGTTCACTGGTAGGGCTGACACAGGTGCAGTTGCAGTCGCCTAGAGAAAACGGAACTGATTTAGAAAGTGGTGGCTAGCATAAACAGTATACAATAAAATGTAAGAATTATTACATCAAGAGAGAATTTTTTCAACATTGTCACAGAAGCAAGCATTGGAGAAGCACTTTTTTTTACATCAGGGGACCGGTACAAACAGTAGTATGATTTACTAATCTACTTATCTGTCAGGTTGTGTTAGATACTTACTTGAGTAAAGATAATTTTTTCACACAAAGTCTTTTATTCAGCCGACGTTTCGGTGACCGTCTGTCACCTTCCTCAGGGCAATTCTGACTGGTTCACATTGCACAGCACAGGTGTCGCTGCTACAGATGCATTCCCAAATGTAAAATGGTTGTGTAAAAAGAGTCTCTTTACTCAGTGTCTTACCAACCTGATGAAACTATTCACGGCTAGATACTTACTTGTGACATTAGTCGTTGCAACGGTTACATTCGTCGTTGAAACTGTTACATTTGTCGTTGTAACTGTTACATTAGTTGTAACAGTTCCATTAGTTGCTGTAACAGTTTCATTAGTGGTTGTAACGTTGCCAGCAGCTCCTGTAGTAATATTCCCTGGCTGACAGCAACTGCAGTTTTCATTGCTGCTTGGGAAAAGAGCATCTTCTTGTTCCAGGCTCATCTCGTTGTGATCTCCGACCACGCCATCCAGTCCGCCCCAGAACACAACACTGGTGACGGCCTGGAGCTCGCCACTGGCAGCGACGATGTCCATCTGTAGAAGTCAGCAATTAAGTATGATAACACTATCATGAGTCTGGTCTCATATATCCTGTAGTCTAGTGAATATGCTATCGTTGGGATACCACAAAAGATCTTACAACCATTTTCTCCACCCTTCTGGATTTTATGTTCTTAACATTTCACTTGGAGTCGCTCCGGTCCATTCTCGTATCTCCTTTGATATTATCCTTCCATCCTTTCCGTTGCCTACCCCTCTTAAGTCCTTCTTGGACTGTTAGGATAATTCTATATCACTGAACAGTGCTTGCAATTGTTACATGTATGCATGGCAAACAGCAAGTATAGCAAGAGTTAAAGGTAAGGGGTTTCTCACCTCGTACTGTCCCGTTCTGCTCCCATCCGCCTGTGTAGAGTAGGCTCCTGACATCATCCTCTCGTACTCAATATCCCGTGTCATCTGGACTGACAGACCTTCGTCCTCTTCAAATGAGAGCTAAGGACAGATACAATATCTGATCATGAAATGTGTCTTTGAAGTAGAAGTGTGTCTGGGGGCTAACAGGGTCACTATCGCTATCCAGAGCCCTTTTGTATATCCAAGTCACAACAACCTACCCATGAACATATCTACAGGAATGTTTTGAACGTCTTGTCATATCGGCTGAAAGGGTTATGTGTCAGCAAATTGTATCATTTAGTTTCAAACACGTCTCCATGCCTAACCCATTCATTCATTCGTCCTCTTATTCGTTCATCCATCCATTCAGCCAGCCAGCCAGCCTTCCATTCATCCATCCTGGACTTCTTTGTTTCACATGAAGCTTAGACATACGCGTTCAGGGTCGAACACGATCCGTCTCTCTCCCGACACTCCCCAAAGCCCTGTTGTCTCCAGAGCTGACCAGCTGTCATGCATTTCGTCCATAGGGAAGTTCCTCTTGGGGCAGGGGTCACCCACCGGGTTAGGGTGGTGTATAATCACACCTGGAAAAGGAAGAAACTCAATCGATCATTTGAAAGAAGCTCCAAACTTTATGTTGACTGTACGGGAAATAAGTCTTTATCACGCCGTTCCTGTGAAGTGGATTGTTGATTGTTATTTGGTTAATCTACTTACTTAGTCCGAGCTCCCGCTTGAACCAATCCAGAAAGCCTCCTCCATAGCCCTTTGTCCTCCACGGCCCTTCGTAGCTCGTTTGTATCATCCACGTTTGTATTACTACGTAGATTGTCTAAGTATGTGACTCTGGGTCTTCCCCTCCCTCCCTTTCCTTTAGTTATAGGCTCCCAGAGAACAAGACAGAATTTTGTCTAATTCAGAAAACACTAATGTAACGAAATGTGGATATCAGTCAGATTCTTAGTACCTTTCTCTTTTGTCTTTCATCAAGATTTAAAAGTTTATTACCTTTCATTTCTGACAAGGAGCTCTGGTGAGTGGCGTCTGTCTCGAAGTCCAGTCCATCCTTGACGTCCCCAGCTACAGGGTCCAGCCGGTCCAGCAGGATGGGCGGGGTGGTGGACTCCGTCACCAGGTCCGCTCGGTTGATGGCACGGAAAGTCACGTAGTACGGGGTGTCAGCCTGCAATGGAGAATGGGTGAAACGATTTTCTATGCAATGCATACATGTTCATAGGCGCTTTGCTATCCAGTATCCAGACAAATGATGTAGTGATCTAAAGCTCACTTATCACTGCAATTAATAGTAACGATGATACGTTAAGTGTGATGCCTATTTTTGTTACTTCATTGCTGAGTATACTGTTCTAGTAAGTAAATCTGTCACGAAACACCTTTTGGTGCCAAAAGAGGTGCTTTTACTGCTTTACCAATTAACGTCACCAATTAATGTCTTAAGATTAAGTAAAGCCAGACTATTTACCCTAAAATTCTAAACCAAACATTTAATTGTTCAAGTTGATAGGTGTAATGTAGCCGCGTGCCTGCGAAGCTGGTGTGTTACTCCGAAAGGCGGTTATACTGGCTATACAGATACAGAAGGTATAGTTACCTTCAAATCAATGTCTACAAACGTGTAGGACGATGCGTTCGCAGCGACGGGCACGAAGGCTACTTCAACGTTGCGCCGCGCATCATCAGGCGATTGGCAGTCACCGCCTGACAGCAGGGCGACCTCGAACCGGGCAATGCCGCTCGTGTTGTCATGGGAGCCATCCCATAATACTTCCATCCGGTCAGCCATGGCGGTGTACATGACGTTCTAGTGAAGAGAAATACAACTGACACTTTAGATTTTTTAGAACTGACTACATTAAAAAATGTACGGTTCTTAGTTGCAAATGTGCAGATTTGGGCACATTGGCGACACCAAATCCACCTGTGTCCTCGTCAGTCTTTGGGCACAAGTATCAGCGATTAGTCGAAAGGCCCAGTGGACGTCACTACACTGTACAACGAGTAAAGTGCCTATCCCAAGGGCACAACATCAGGCATGATCATGTCAGGGGATTGAACCCGGAACCTCTTGCTTCCGAGCCACGCGATGCTACTGCATTTCAAGGGAGTGGGCTAAGAAATAATGTTCTAGTCCAGAGGCTGCCATTTCATCTGCAGCATCTGTATCATATGCAGCTGTAGCCAAATGTTTGTTACACATCATATAAGCCTATTTCTCTGCTTCATACTTAACCTTATCTCCTGGCGCTCCTACAAACACACGTCCTTCCACCGGAGGGCTGGTGTCAATGGTGACGTCAGCCAGCGCCATGGCGCACTGCGCAGCCTCGTCCGTTGCAACGACAACCACGTGATACGTGTGGCCGTGCTGGAGTTCCAGCCCCTCGTACTGCACCATGGTGTTCCTGCCCACCTTTGTAAGAGGGTAGACGTCGAACAGGTGGGCGTGGTCTTCGCTGACTCCGGCGTACCCCTCTTGGTCAAAGTTTTGCTAGAAAATGGCAGCAAATTTGCAAAGTGAATACATAGAAGATCAACTTTCTTTTAATGGAATTATCAACCTCAAGGGTGTTAGAAGGGAGGTAACAGTGCCATGCGTGTTAGCCGAACATGGAAAATTTACCTGGCAACTACCAAGTTTAACCATTCAACATGGCGGATACGACTGACGTCATAGTCACGTGAGTGTGAACACTATTGAGTTAACACAAAACTGAGACTGCTCTCTCTTCCTACTTGGAGGCTTTTCAGGCCAGGATTTGACAACCTACATTTGTACTTGTACCCTTCCCAGCAAAGCGCATACACGTATTACATGTGGCAGAATCTTCAGTCAGCTGAAGGCGACCTCCTTAAGAGAAAGAAGAAGAAAAAGAAGAAACGAAGCATATAGAGATTGATTCAGCAGTAATTCTTTACCAGGTCTAGACAGTCCATGCTCTCCAGTTCCGTCCGGTTGGATGTTATTCCCCACTGGTAGAGGAGAATCGACATGGTGAACTCAAAGTCGCTCCAGGCAACCGTGATGTTCGCGTTGGACGAGATGTATCTGTGGGCATGGAAAGAAAGGATGTTAGTAATTAAAGCAGTGTAATGTATGTACAGGCACGAATGGTATATACAATTTTACCTGTGTCGTTTTTCATTGACATTGGGACACGGTGGTAATAACCTTGTGTACATGTGTGTCCAGCACGTTCTTGCTGCAAAAGCGCCACCTACGTTGCGTACGCATGCATAGCAGCGAGAAGCAGAACTCCAGTCAGAAGCTCTGAGGAAGGTGTCTGATAGGCATAGGCAAAAGGTATGCAAGTTCTTGTAAAAGAAAATTCCAATATCTTATGTACAAGAGTTAGTAATGGCTGCAAAAAATGTAATGTAATGTAGATACATAAGAACAATACCAACACGCTAAAAAGTCTAGGGACAATAAGGTTGTTGCGTACCTTGGTACTTGTACCTCCCCATGGGATATGATGTCACCACCGAATCCCACCCGGATGCCGTTTGACGTCACTTCCGTCGTGGATGACGCGAGACTGACAGCCCGGACGGTGACGTAGTAAATACCCGTCCTCGGGACGAGCTGAAGGTACTCGAAAGTGACGGTCTTGTTCTGTCCGACGTTGGTGAACGGACGGATGTTGGTCCGGGTGCTTGGGTACCGTCGATCTGTACCCACCGCGACCTCATAATGGTCAATGATTTGGTGGTCTCCTATCTCAACAGCTTCCCCTTGAATTCAAGAAGAGTAGTTCGTGATGCTTGAAATAGCATGAGTTTCATTTTCGTATGAATAATATCGTGAAAGCAATGGACTTTGAGAAGATGCAACGGTGCCTTCATAATGGTCTATCATTTGGTGCTGTCCTATCTCAACATTTTCTCCTTGAATGTGAAAATAGTAGGCCTTAAACTAGCATGAGTTTCATTTTTGTATGTATACCATAATAGCTAGGAACTTTGAGAACCGTATTTTCGCAGTTCTTGATGCTTTACCCACCTCGCAATAAGAAGCACCGATGATGGTGACGACAAAGATGGCTTTGACGCCAATACGCAAATTAGAGGAAGTAAACATACAGCTAGCGGGGCTGAGTAGTCTCTAGAAAATCTGTTACAACAACCAGTCTTACCATTGATGACTGCGTCGTCCCCGAGGCCGTACTCCTTCCCGAAGCTGTCCCAGTTGGCGGACAGCGTCGTCACGGACTGCTGATGTGACAGGTCGAACCCGAGGATGGCGCCGTCCCTCACTACCCCGGGAACGAGAGGCTCTAGCCTGACGGTGACGCCGTCAGACCTGACGGAGTAGCTGTACCCCAGCTGGTTGGTTGCCCTGACAACCGTGTAGTACGTCTCACCGTCACGGAGGTCGAACTCATCAGAGGTGGCACGGTCAGCACCTAGATAGAGATTCGTTTGATAAAAGTGTTCCTTTTACTAGATCCCCTTTGAACTACAGTACATGTATGTGGCACACTAATACAACAAAATGCGCTGAAAATGAACATTTTGTTACCAAGCAAGCTTGACGGCTATCTTAAATATCCAATAGTAGGGGCCCTTCTACTTGTGGATGGATCCTAGATATAGATTCGTTTTATAAAAGTGTTCCTTTTACTAGATCCCATTTCAACTAGGTGGCGTAGATACGACGAAATGGCACTGAAAAGGGACATTTTATCATCAAGCAAGGTTGAGGGTTATCTTAAATCTCCCACCACTCTTATAGAAAAGAGTAGGGGCACTTCTACTTGTGGGTGAATCAAACCATTCCGGTCTAAAAGGAATAAGAAATGTTTCCGTACAGCCATTGTGACCCAGCTTCTCCTATATTGGAACGGTTAGACCTCACTCAAGCTTGATGTTTCTTTGCGAACAGGAGATGCTGTTCCAGTGCCTTCTCGGCAGATCCGGTGTCTTAATGTGGTTTTGCACTAGCATTGCATTGCATTGATGAAGTCCTCTTTTATAAGTGTTGACGTCAAGTCAAGTGCAGAGACCTTATTTGCAAACCTTACCTGGAGACAGCTCAGTTAGTGGCAAGATCTCGACCCCCTCTCTAGCTTGACCATAAGTTGTGACTCCGTTTGCAAACCTTACCTGGAGACAGCTCAGTTAGTGGCAAGATCTCGACCCCCTCTCTAGCTTGACCATAAGTTGTGACTCCGTTTGCAAACCTTACCTGGAGACAGCTCGGTGAGCGGCAGGATCTCGACCCCGTCCAGCCTGACCACAGACCACTCCGTCCGCACGGAGGGACAGGGGTCGCCGCTCAGGTCCCAGTGAGCGCTCATCTCCTCGTTATGGCTCTGGAAGTCTCTGGTTATAATATCAAGAAAATCAGTTAGCAAAGATAAAGTCATGATCTTTTTTTCCCTCTGAAGATGAGAATCTCTCTTTAATCACTGACTTATGTCCTTAACGTGGCAGGAATGATTAGTTACGAAGACACTAACAGTCATCTTCGATTGCGAAGGACTACCAAAACGACGAGGTAGCAATGATACAAATCATATACTGTGTGTGTGAGGTTTACCTCTGGGTATCGTTGACACATTATCTACCTAAAGCTGTGTACACACATGGACGTGCCGAAGAGTCCGTCCGTCCTTCTACTAGAAATAGATCGTGACCGCTTTCATATCCATGTATCTTTTACAGACATGAGTAGACAAGTAACTAAGTCTGGAAATGGAAATGGAAGAAAGTGCATCTTACATGTCGCCCCGTCGATTGGATCTCCCGTCGTTCACAACGAAGGGCTTGAGTGGCGGGAACCCTGCACTGATCTTACTGATGTAGACTCCGTTAGACACAGCCACACTGGACAGGCCTGCCGCGTTGTGTCCTCTCACTGTCACAAACACCTGGGATAGAATATGGCAGGTATTTAGTCATACAAGCAGTAGGGATATTCGTGAATCTGGACGAGACTATAGGAAATATTTTAGTACTTGTTGAGACGTTTGCAGCGACACAATGTAGCGCATTGAAGAAGTCTGGTATTACATATAGATTGAAAAACGGAACAGTTACATGTACCTGTCGGATGTCCGAAAGGTCCAAGTTCTTCACCACAAAGAAGCGAACGTCGGGATCGGGAACTTGGTGGAAACTGCTAAGATCTGCTGCACCGGGCACAGTACCAACTGCAACATCATACCTGAAACCCGTCATAGTCAGTGTGAACAGGCATGTGTTTGCAGCTTATTTTTTCTACTGGCTATAGTTTATTGATATATGCATTATATGTCCCATCACTGGCATCTTGATATGAAATCATCTTCAGAATATTCGACCTTTTTCCATCCTTGTTAGTACTAACGTTTCGAGCTTAAAGGAGCTATGGTATAAGGTTAAGTATCGAAATTGTTAAGAAAGGAAAGGATTTATGTACCTGGTGATCGGCGTCTCTGGGTCCACGAATGGTTGCCAGGCAACGGCAACTTGAGTGAGAGAAGCTTGACACATGGCATCCATCTCTTCGCAGTCTGAAACAATCAGAATACATTTTTGTGCCTTCTACTATGATCCTTCATTCATTGCAGTGGCAATAGCAAACCTATTGTAGCTCATGTAGTTCACTTCATACAGAATATGACTGGTTGCTTTTGACCCTTTCCGACGAATGGCATCAACAGATTAAGAAAACAAAAGCACCTGGTAACACTCTCTGTTCACGCAGAATCTGGCAGGTTGGTTTTGACCCTTTCCGACGAATGGCATCAACAAATTAATAAACAAAAGCAGCTGATAACACTCTCTGTTCACACCATATCTAGCAGGTTGGTTTACTCTTTCCAGCTATCGACAAAGCTGTGAAAGAAGCTGTTGCCACCTCACCTTCTTCGTTTTCGCACATTGCTTTGCCATCCGAGTTATCCCCCTGTAAGTCAGCGTGGTAGATGCTGTCCAGTTCCACCACAGTCCCGGGAACGGGCGGGGTGGCGTCGATGACGATTGCCTCGGAGTAGGCTGATGTTTTCCCTCCCACTGCGTTGTAGGCAATCACTGTGGCGTAGTAGCTTTCCTGGTGACGCAAAAACTGCCCTGCGAACCCTACAATATAGAGCAACACATGATGAGCATTTTAATGTTGTCTTATAAGTACCTTAAAGTTGTTGCTTTGCAAATATGGATAATGATTAGGACCACCAGATATCTTAAGTGATCGCTTGCCGTCCAAAGGCCTTTACTTACGAACTTGTGGAAGCTCCTAGTAATGAAAAAGTTTATCATCAACACTCCGTCACTACATGTCTTATTTCATTTCCTGTTTCTGCTGAATACATATGTTCCTCCTTGAAACTCTCTCCTGATTTCGTTATATATAGTCGGTTTAGAATTAGTCTAATTATTTGATTGTCGACGAACTACAGATGATCAATTTTTTTCCACCGACTCGGTTTTCTGTTCTTCGTTTCAAAACGTTTTAGAGTATCCTTCGTTCCAATGCGTGCCCACCTTTAGCCTTGAACCTGTCAGCCGTCCCTGACACTCTGGTGAACGGAAAGACGGAGTCGTCCCCTTCCTCCGTACTTTTATACATACAGGATTCAATTTGTCTCTTTCTTATTATTCTCTTCTTATCATTATAAAGAATTTGTTTGAATGCGTGCCCACCTTTAGCCTTGAACCTGTTTGCTGTCCCCGACATTTTGGTGAACGGGAAGATGGAGTCGTCCCCCTCCTCCGTACTTTTATACATAAAGGATTCAATTTTCCTCTTTCTTATTAGTCTCTTCTTATCATTATAAAGAATTGGTTTCTAAGCGTGTGCACCTTTAGCCTTGAACCTGTCCACCGTTCCCGCCACTCTGGTGAACGGGAATACTGAGTCGTCCCCCTCCTCCGTTCCGACCCCGAACAGGAAGTGGTCGATGTAGCTCTGGTCGTCCCGGAAGCCGTGCCAGCTGCACCGGAACTCGTCCGTCCCCGGGATGTGACGTGGGCAGATGACGTCACCAGCCACCGGCGGGGTCGAGTCCACGGTCAGACTGGGGGAAACGGCGACAGTACGCAGGCCCACCTGGAACGATTTTAAGACATCATCAACACACGTACAAAATAGTCTATTAGGGAATGTGAAAGACAACAAAAAAAATTAAGAAATTGCATTATACTTCTTACTAATCTTAGCGTATGTTTGCAAAGTGTGCAATGTCTAGAAACTCGAAGAGCTAAGAGCTGCTTTCAAGGTAGGAAAGCAGAGTGGAACGAAATGTGGAAAGTCGTTGTAACCAATAACTGAATTGAGCTGCAAATTTCGTACATCATTCCATCTGTAAAGTACTGTTAAAATTACTTAGAGTATGTCACCATAGCAATGTAACAATGCCTGTAATCCTACCGCAAATTTATAAGTGAAAGTCTTACCGAGTTTATTGCTGTAAGACTGAGGATGTTGGGCCGCCCTAGTGACGAAGGATGGACAAGCCCGTTCGGCACCGAGGTTCTCTCACTCGTCACAGTCCGGTTATACACGTCAGAACCACCAGGGAACGTTCCGTACGCAAACGTAGCGAACACCACGTCACTCTCCCCCTCTGTGTACCCCCACTCCGCTGTGATGTAGTCCGCTGACAGCTGGTAGCGAGACACGTCTGGTCCAAAGGCGTACTCTTCATCATCTGACGTTACGCCGAAGCCCAGGAAGTCGACCTATATCAAAAAGATATTTCGTTGTATAAATTGTTGTATGATTGATTTCTATTATTTTGATTATTAATGTGATTTTCAGTTCAGTTTCTGCCAGTCGTCGGGTAATTCTTTTGTATACTTTTATCATATTCCGTTGTTATATTTTGTAAATGGACTCTAGGAAGACTAGTGAAGCCTATTCACTAATGGAGATCTGAATATAGCAAACCAAACCAAAGACCTGAGGAGGTGTGACGTCGACAGTGAAGCCGTCTGACGCCGACTCTAACACGTTGCCGGCGCCCGTGATGGCCCGCACGGTTGTGTAGTACAGCTGGCCTGGCTGGAGGGGCAGGAGGGCTTGGGCGTGGCCTTCACTGCCAATTCCTGTGGAGGTTCAAGAATTGTTATTTCAGTTGACCTGTGTAATAAGGTGTTTGCATTAAAGTTAACGGCGGCTTTCAATAAACAGGAAAACATGGGACATTATGACATAAAGTTTAGTCTCAGAAGACTATCTCTGTGCCTCTTTGATTAAACGTTAAAGTTAACGCATTTCTAAACCCACGAGTGTTTTTTCTTCAACTTAACAAGCCCTTGGTGTATTTTTTTAAGTTGACAAGCCCTGAAATGCTGCCTCCCCTTCTAGTTACACGTTGCGCAAACAGTGAGTCCATCAGGTACAAACATTATATGGGCTTGCCAGTAGGTCAGGTCTTACGTTTCCCGTAGCCTCTCTTACCTTCCTTGTTTGCGTCGCCATCATACAGCACGATGCCTGCCGATGAGAAGGACTGGACGTCATCCAGGAGCGGTGCAGTGCCCACCGCCCACTCGTAGTGCACAATGCCATGCCTGGCACTCTCAAAGCCCTGTCGCAAACAGAAAATATTTCTTTTGATATTGTAGAGGAACCTAAGATTGTAATTGTGTTCGCAAAAGATGTCATGATCTTCAGGCACATTCACATTGTCTGGGGTGTTACTTGTATGGCTAACGAAACGGAACCTGACACAAGAGTGTCAACACTTTTTTCTGCATCCTTGAGTGTTTACTATTGTATGGACATGTTTTGGGACACTGGACTGCAAAACATATCTCTCCAGATCTCCAGAGAACACTTCCTTCGTCTGCCACGACCAAGTAAATATCGTCCTTTAGGGTTATTTTCCGAGCCTTTATATAGTTACCAAATTTTTGTTGTAAACGTTTTGCTCCTGACCTTGAATCGCACAGTGACAGTCCCAGTGTGTAGTTGATAGTCGACATCTACAGTTGCTACGTCATCGCTCTCACTGTCCGTCATGTGGGGTCCGTCCAGAACCACTCCAGTCTTATCACCTGGGACGACCTTAATGGGGCTGGGAAAAAATGGCGTTGAGTCTAAATATACTATAGTTTAGGCCTCCGATTGCGATTTACATTGTTAATTAGCTCGCTGGTCTTTTTAGTAAACAGAAAAACTGACAAATATCAAATCGATGTGTTGTAAACTGTTGCCATGCATTAGCTGTCACTAAACGGTTTTAAAATGTCTTGCCTTATTTTTGTCTTCAACAGACAAATTATGATGTTTCTATCAAGATCGAAGCTAATATCCCTGCTCCAAAGTTTGTCATGATGAATTTTTTAGCTCTATATGCATCCTCTAATCTTATATTATTGATACACTAGCTGCACGCCAATGTTACCTTGAAACAACTTCCGATGAAAATGCACCAGCTCCATTCTGAGCCTTTACTGTGACATAGTACACAGGTGATCCGGTGCTCTCGTCGTAAAGCTGCAGCTGCAGGTTGTCGATGTAGGCGCTTCTGTCAGCTCCCATATTTTCAAACGGCAAGACGTCCGTGGCACCTTAAAATAAGCAGAAAACATCCAACGACCCTCATACATGGAACGTTCAACTATGATTCTACTTATATATAGCCAACTGTAATTGATTCTGTTGCCTCCGTCAAATAATGCTAAGATGTAAATGTGTGAAAATTAAAAACTGCTCACAAAATTGCAGACTTTGGTATTGGCATCAACATTTCTATCAATTCCAATACTCCAAAGTACAAAATAATCATCAATACCAACAACATCAGTACACAACAACTACCTCATTATAGAATCTGGTTAGATTGTGCCAAAACCTAAAGCACAACGTTTAATGTGTAGGCACTGTTTCTGTTTTACAGGTTGTCATCCCTTGTGACGTAAGATGTACCCACCTGGTGACGTCCCCACGGCAGCCCAGTACGCCATGACCTTGCTCTCCCCGTCAGTGGCCCGCCAGGACACCAAGATGGCGGACAGGTCCGTGTGTAGAACGTACCCATCGTGCAACTCCTCCAGCTCACCAGGCATCACATCAACAGCAACGTGCAGATTCTACAGTGGTAGGTAGGTTTTTTTTTGATACAGTATAAAAAGTGTATTGTTCAAGGAAATATCAGATATTTGTCAAACAAAGCTAGAAATCTAAGCTAGAAGACTAATGTTTGTAATAAGAGTTATATGGAAGCCTTCTCTTGGCCAATGAAAGGCCACTAATCTAATCAAATCAAATCTTTATTAAATATCAACATGGCAGACGTGCCGAAGTGCTTCGGGCACATCTGAATTGCATTGACATTTTACAATTATACAAACATCATCACAATAGATTAAAAACATCATCATAGATCATCATTTAAAAATCAACATCATAAGACACGTAGGTTAAAATAATTAAATTTCAGTTTAAAATACAATATATATATATATATACATGTCCAATACACATCACAAGTCTTTTACGGCTCTCACAATGAAGGAGTTTTTATGTCTGTCCGATCGGCTTAGTGGGAGCTTAAACTGATTGCTGTTCTTCCTAAGATTATATACAGTGTTCTCTCTTGGTGGGATAAAGTCATTGCGGGGGTTGGTGGGGTCTTGTAGAATTCGTTTTAGTTCTCTCAGCAGAATCTAATGGCTTGTGGCATGTATAAACCTGAACAACCTCAGACTTACATTGGAGATACCAGGCGCTTCTAGCTCTGCTTGACTGTCTTCTAACAGTCAATTAGATATAGAAGTAAAAATACTACATATGTTAATGGACCTACATTCTCCTTCTAGCTCTGATTGGCGGATGTGTTTCCACCAATGAGATATAGGAGGTTAACATGTAATCCTTAATAGCCACTCCAGCTCAAGAAAATCGTTTCAAATAACTTTGTTAGTATTAACATTTTGTTATGTCTTGGGGTGGTGGGACTACGGCGCACTGGTCAACTTTGTGTATTTAAATGTTAACTGTATTTTGTTGTGTGGCGCTGTTAATATAAGTTATTAACTTGCGTGCAGCGCCACACTGTCCTTGTTATATTTTGATGTTTTGATGATTAAAAAAACACTGGACAAGGTGAGCGACGTTGAAACATTTTCTGCTTGAAAGAGTCGAGCAAGCCCTGTTATACCAAGACCAAATACTAACTTATACGTATTTTATCAGTAGCGTGATAAAATACGTATAAATTAGTAGAAAAATACGTATAAACTGGAGTGGTGATATACTAAAAAGGTTGGAAGACGAACCGAAGGTGGAGTAGGGTCCACGATGACGCCGTCCGTGTCATGGGTAGTTGTCAGCCCGGCACCGTTAACTGCGGACACCCGCACACTGTACCGCGCGCCGGGTACAAGACTCAGCGGGTCGCTGTTGGTCCAACCGTCAGCGCTTCCATCAACAGTCACCCACTTGTTCCTTCTCAACACAGAATACGATAAACATTTTTTTATATTGCGATGCGGATTTACCAACCATAGGCTGATATATGTGTATTTTATACAATTACACAACAATGGTCTTTGGTACTTGATACATACAGTTATTACGTTACATGAAGCTTGTTGCAATATGGGAGCAGCATTTGTTAAAATATCAAACAGATCTATAGAATTTCTCAGTCTACAGTTACAGAGGAGATCGCTAGGGAAGCAAACTCCCAATCATTGTCCATTAGGTCAAGATCATAGCACCTATCAAGAGTTATAGACCCTACAGCTTCTTGACAAAATGCTTGAGGCATGTTATATAAGAAGCAAGTCAATGACAATGAAAACAAAAAGAACAAAAAAAAAAGGTACTGTCAACTTGAAACAGAATGGTACATCAGCTTTACTTACTTCTGTGCTGGGTAGATCTGTAGACGAGTTCCTCCATAGTGCTGGAACACCGCCAGTTTATAGTGGTCGATTGCTGACTCCGGATCTTCGAACTCCCAGTTCGCGGACAGATGCGTAATACTAGCCTGTGGTAATAAACAAAATTCATAATTTCTAACGACCAACCTTGATGCTTCTACGCTCTGGAGAACTCAAACCGTGCGTATATCAGTGTAAATTCTGCCTCTTTCTATGATCTGCTCTGTATTTCACCGTCGAGGTCAATTAATTCCTTTCCAACTTTTAACTAACCACTAGACAGTTAAATATTAGGTATTTTGCTTGACACTAGCTCCATTTCTGTACCTGATAGAACCCGTCCACACAAGTCACCAAACACCGTGCTCTACTACTCTATCAACCCCCAAACATTACTCTACCAACCTTTTTTTCTCAAGTATAAGATGATATTTTACCGAGTACTGAAGGTCCGTCCTTTGCTGGTTACCATCTCCAATGAAACGCATGACAGGAGGTGTAGTGTCCATGGTGAACCCATCCGACTCTGTCACTACAACCCCGCCGGCTCCGTTTGAAACGTTCACCACTACATACACGAAATCTCCGTCGTGTAGGTGGAAGTGATGCCAGTTGATGCTGTGCGCGTCTTTCCCGACAGAGGTCGCTTCGTGGATCACGTGAGGAGAAGTATCAGCACTACTGTTACCTGCTAGCAACAAGAAGGATATAATTTCAATAACCGACTGGTTATTGTTACCTTTGTAGAAGAGACTTTCATTCAACTTTCCCTTCATCCATCCATCCATCCATGCATGCACCCATCCATCCATCCATCCATCCACACACCGATCTAACCATCTATTCATCCATTCATTCATCCATCCATTCGTCTAGGCATCCATCCATCCATCCATCCATCCATCCATCCATCCATCCATCCATTCATCCATCCATCCAAATACTCTTTATTTCTATCAATCTCTCTTTGCCTTTGGCAGTGTAACACTGAACTTTTCTTTGATTATTGTAAGCAAAGAAGTAATAAATGTACGTACCGTTGCTTGAATGTTTTCTCCACACGGTAATTTCGTAGTCGGCGATGTGTGACTCCGGATCCGTGAAGTTATCCCAGTTTGCGCTGACTGTCGCGGTGTCAGACGAGTAGGTGACGTCATGTTTAGGATCGAGTCCGTCATTCACCCAGCCCTTCTCTGGTGGGGTGGCGTCGTACATCACTGGAAGCAATGAGACGTAAAGTCAAAATCTTTTCCACATGATGTGTAGGGGCAGTGCCTATCTCCGTCTCTTTAGCCCTTAGGCCACAAGCTACTAGTAATACAGAGGGCTAGTCCACTGGGAGATGTGTGTTCAACTCTCGTGCTCTTAATCTTTCAAGATCTTAGTTCTAAGCCGTGCAAACAGTATGCAACATTTTTCAAGTATAATGACCGGTCCTGAGACTTTTACCAACACAGATGAACTAAAAGACTGTTATTGGCCATCTTGCCTAACAAACTCAAAACGGCCATCCGAAAACGTCGAAAGGATTTCCGTGCCTCAACCAACGGCGGCCGATTGCCATTCCCACATCCCACATGTTAAACCCATATAATTGGAAGAAGGAACCTCATCTTGGATACACGGAGACTATCCAGAACCAAGCCTAACCCTAACCCATTAAGTCATATGCCATGTTTCTGGGTGCTGTGGTATGTCTGCACCACCTGCCGCGCTACTAGGCCCGTTGTTCTTATTGTCATGTATATACAGTATCACTGTTTTGTATTTTTTATGCACATTGACTATTTATTTGTCGGCATGGTGGCCTTGAAAAGGTGTACTTAGGTCCAGCTGTTCCACCACGCCTTCCATGTACGTATGTATCTGGTGAATTGTAATAAATAAATGATTAAATAGAACTAAATAGGCACGGATCTGGACACAACAGTTCCCGTACCTCCATCGCTGGAGACCGACCTTCAGAGCTCTGCAACCATCCCTGAACAGAGACGGAGGACGTTATAAGCTATATGAACTCGCAGGCTTTGCTACCCCAACTCCTCCAAACGGTGATATGCATCCCAAACCAAAAGGTTTCTGTTATATCCAGATCCATGCTCGCTACGGTTCTAGATAGTCAAAGTGTATCCAGAACCGTGTCTTGGATAAATCCAACATCGTGCATCCAGAACAGTGCCTGATCCCAACGATAACCCCTTCAAGAATAGAACTAGAACAGTTCTGTGTACGACAGTTTCCGTACCTCCGTCGCTGTAGACCGACACGTTCTTCATGGCGTGCCCCAGGTTGAAGGCGACCAGGGTGGTGTAGTACGTCACGCCGTGCTGGAGGGTCTGGTTCAGCTCGGCACAAGCCGCGTGCTGCGTGTGGGGGAGCTCACGGAACGGGAGGGTGTCGACAGTGCCAATTTCCGTTCCCACGCCCCACCAGTAAAACCCTAAAATGATTGAAAAGAACATTATCATTAAACGGGTACATACAATCCTTGCTGCAGGACTTAAGTCGGTAGGAGGGTCTGGTTCAGCTCGGCACAGGCCGCGTGCTGCGTGCGGGGGAGCTCACGGAACGGGACGACGTCGACGACGCCAATTTCCGTTCCCACACCCCACTCGTAAAATCCTTACATAATTGGGAAGAACATTGTCAGATTGTTGCATACATTCCTTGTTACAATCAAAAGAGATCAAAACTCAACTTTTAAGAGTGAATGCTATTTACAATCCTATACACTGGACGACGCTATTTATCTGTAATTGGTTCGTGTGATAGCTATGCCTAGGTTACATGTATTTGGTGCCATATGGAAACACCCATACATCAGTCCTAGTACCACTGCCATCTGACAAATAATATATATATATCTGCAAATTCTAAAGGCGTTTACTTAGTATCATTTTTTTTAGTCTGAACAAAAAGTTACCAATTCCGCTCTCCTCATCATGGAAGTCCTTCCAGCTGGTGCAGACCCGGGTGCCGTCCGCCTGGTAGTCCCGGTCCCTGTTGTAGGTCTCACCGTCGTGCACGGTACCCGGGATGGGTGGAGTCGTGTCCACGATCAGCGGTCTACTGTAATGGCCTGATGCTCTCAGGTCCACTATACAGACAAGGTAGATAAGGTTGACAAATAACAGTTAAAAACTGGTAGCACATAACTCTCGGGGCAAGGCTGTCTCGTCCTGGACAGAAACGGCAAAAAGCGATGTCAAAGGACAAAACATCTCTATGGTCTTCTATTCGTAGCATTCTTAACAATATTTCTGAAAGTCCTTTGTCTAAGCTCCTAGTCATCTACCTAGTAAGTTCTTACTCTTTTGCCCAAGCTCATATCCTCTGTCTGAGTTCTTACTCCTTTGCCCAAGCTCATAGACCTTTGCTTCAGTTTCTAGTACTCTGCCCAAGTCTCTAGCCCTTTGCCTACGTTCCTAGTCCTTGTCTTTATCAAGGGAAATAATGTGCCCTGACATCTAGGTATATAATTGAACTTTACCGTTGTTGATGGCCCTGACTTTGATCCACGTGGGGATGCCGTCCGGAATGCGGAAGTACATGGTCACGTGGGTCCGGTTGTCATGGCGATGCCAGTCCTTGATGAAAACGTCCCTGGGACTCTTCCCCAGCCCGATGTCAACCTCCCGGATGTTGGACAGAGGGTCGCTGAAATCACAGCCAGCATTGGAACCGTCTTAGACTTAATACAGAGTTTAACACTTTCAAAGAGCCAGACTCACTGAATTTATGACAGGCATTTAGGTCTCCTTAGAGGCCTCCAGAAACCTGATGCTTTGCCAATGGGATTATTCTATTGGTAGTCTGTGTAACACCAAACTGTCGTCCGTGGCTTTACTGGGTAACCGGCCGTAAAGCGATTTGATCAGGCTATTCTCTTGGTATGTCAAAATCTGTTGGAAACCTGAACTAGTAGCCACTGTGCATTAAGCTGGCCTGGTCATTGTGGCCACTTTTTGGTGGCCCTTTAGACTCCAGTCTAATGCAACCTCTTCTCCAGTCCCTTGACTAGTCAATACACTACAGACAGCACCATAGACAGGTATGGCTGTATTCAAATGTTGCGATGCATACACGTCATTTTCTGGTCCTTACCTGACGTTGTACTCCACGATGAGTTCGTAGGTGTTCTCGTCGTAACTGATCAGCTCGACCTCATTGACGAACGGAGGCGTGGTGTCGATGGTGTAGGGGACGCCGTGACACACTGTGGTCGCTAGGGGGCCTCCGAATTCTACCTTGTTCACGGCGCGTACGGACACGTGGTAGAAGCCATCTGTAGAAGTAAAGTCAATATATTAATGACTGAAGAAAGGAGTCCAGTTAACGTGGCCCCTTGCATGACTTTTCACATTGACTCTAGTACTGGAAAAGCTGCCTATGCTGACCACCCTTACAAGACTTTCCAGTTTTCTTGAGTGGTCGTCACTAGCACAGGCACGCTCGCCTGTATATGCTCTCTATATCCATAGAATAGGTGAGTCCTTACCTGGGAAGGGCCCTTTTACCTAGCTTTGTTCTAGCTCTATACCTTTCATTAAGTTATGGTAGTTTTCGACAAGTCTCGTACTCTTATCATATGATGATCATATGATTTTCTGATTTTTTAAAACCCAAATTATACTAAAGTGCTAAAGCTGATTCCAAATCATACCCTTCAGCTCCAGCGGGTAGGCTAGCCCCTGATGTGTCCACTCGTTCTCCCCGTACAGGTGCGAGTGTGGGTCCTTGTGCGGGTGGACGTCTTCCTGACAGTGGTCCGTCCCCACCGTCCACGTGTACCCGAAAATACCCGTCTCATTGTCGTGGAAACCGTCCCAATTGGCTGGAGAGTGAAATGGTGTTATAAATAAGATTCATTTGCAACATAACTGGCTTAAACATACAAGTAATGTAACTATATCGAAAATAAGGTCTCTATATATCTGCTAAGAAGTTCAAATCAGGTCGTAGATGTATTAGCAAATATCTGCAGGATCAAAACGTCAACTAATCTTTGGAAATATGAGTTGGTATACAGTGATACTCTGCAACTACTGGTCTATCACAGTGCAAGTTCATTTCCAAGGATAGCACAGGTAGGCTAAAGCTAGCTGATGTTGACTTAAATTCTTCTTCTCAGAACACTATCTTACCTGTGACGTAAGTGTTCGGCCGGAAGTAGCGCAGGTCTTCCAGAGGTTTGTTTCCGTTAAACACGGTCCTGGACCCCTCGCCGTCTATGATGGCTCTGTATGGATGAGATAAAGACTCAACACGTCACTTGGTGCTTACCATAACTTCTTCAGACAGCCAGGGTAACAATCATTACAAGGAGTTGTCTTATTCGTCTGGATATCAATCGCACAATTTATTTCAGTTTGACATTTCCGAAGGTATCACTGAGATCATTATGTATAGTTCAAGTTTATTAATAAAGTTCAAGTTCAAGTTTATTAATAAAATCAGCCTTGCAGCCTGTTCACAAGTCAACCAAGCTGAATTATAATATATCAGGATGACTATGCTATTGCTAGCCTGGGTGCCATCCTATTTGTATGCCGGCTATGCTATTGCATCGTAATAAAGGAAACACATATGATGGAAAATGGCAAAGCAATACACTGGGATTAAAGAGCAAGAAGTCTTGGGCACGTCCTAGAATGGAACAGAACAGACATCCGTATGTCGCCCTCAGATGGACTCCCCAACACAAGAGAGGCAGGCAACTAGGGACATGGAGAAGGACTGTGGAAGTGGAAATGAAAGCAGCCAAAAGACCTGGCATGAGATTGGCTGACCAGCCCAAGACCGGAGTGGCTGGAGGAAGCTTGTCAGCGCCTTATGGAACGATGGAGATTAAGTATTACTAAGTTAAGACCAAGAAACTGTATCCTGGAGGCAAGACGCCGTACCTGTGGTTGGGCAGAGGTGTCTGCTCCACACACCTGTCCTCCCACTCGTCAGGTAAGAACTCCTCACACACCTCTGCAGCCGTGACGTCATGACTGACGTTCGCCAGCGGACCGGGAGACGGCGGGACGAAGTCGGCTATCACGGCCATGGACGTCAGGGTGTTCGTGTAGCCTGGTTATAGTTTGAAGAAAAAAGTTTTAAATGGTCAAACCTGGGAGCAGACTGTTCTGCTTGAATCACTTACACGGTGAAGAACCCCTACTTTCTTGGTTAGTGTAACTAAGGTGTGACTCTCCTGAAACCCGGGACCTTCATAGCTTCCTGTGCAGGCCTCCGGGTGGGTGAGAGTTTTGATACTGCGTTTTGTAGAGTTTTTGACGCGTTCTTTTAATTGCCGGCCATCCTACAACCAGCCGCCGAGAGAAGGTTTCTACCCCGCCCAGACAACATTCATAAAAATCAAGTCTTAAGCGTCTCTACTTTTCGCACATGCAGTTGCAGGCTGTTCCAGATGTTGGCCATTTCTACAGTACAGACAGTTTCTAAGCGAAGTATTTGATAGAGGATTTGTTCACATTGCCTAGATAAACTTGAGGCCTTACTTGTTTATAAACGATCTAAGCAATTTGCTTCATGACTTACCCACGGTATTGTTGAGGAACAGGTTGTAGTAGTACAGGTTATCGTGGGCCAGACTCACGTCCTCGTGAACTACCTTCACGGCATGGCCGATACCCAGGCGCTCGAAGTTGTGGAAAACTCCGTCCTTTGGAAAACAGAACAATATATAGATTGCCTTAACCACTGCCTTCGGTAGGACGTTATAGGTTTTAGAAATGATACAGAAAACATACCAGGTGTTGTATGCTGGAGTCTATCAGCTTGATCTATAACTGGAACGCCTGAACACTAGCTTCGAAATCATAATGAGTATTAGAACTGTACTTCAATTGCAATTAGAAAGAATGTAATCCAACATCAGTTACCATGGTGAGAGACGTCAACAAATCAGGCCATTGACCAGGTCAGCGGTCAGTGTTTGGAGACGAAGAAGTGGAGGAAACGTAGCAAAAAAATGTTGTACTTACACGTTTAGTTTAGTTCTTATGACAAGAATATTAGCTAATGTTACCGTGTACATGACAACGCCATGCCCCTCTATCTCCTCCAGTAGTTCGCATCGTCCGTCGTCGCTGTAGTCGTAGTTGAAGCTGAGGCATTTTGTAGCGGGCAGAGCCAGGCAGTCCCGGGCACAGTTTTGTGCGTACGGGTAGTTAGCCACGTGGTGAGGTTTAGACAGCACTCTTCCTGCAAATGCACAGGATACAACGCTTACTTTGAAGGTTGGTGGTGGTAGCTAAGTCGTAAAGTAGACTCAAATACATATTTCATACATCTCAGGACAAACTTTTCTGAACACTCTAATAAATGGGCGATCAACCTTTATCAGCGCCTCAAAGATCTAACGGTCCACTAGATGGAGTATATTAGATAATATCAGTCAGCTGGTCCCTGGTGTAGTTTATCCAACATTTTGCCAATAGAGTAGGGTGCACACGCGAATGCAATGTGGCGCATCCCCTATATAGTGTCACTCTACTCTGATGCCTCCATGAATTTGATGGATGCTCAAAACAAAAGCTGATTTGTATTGGTTGAAATCATAGTGTGCAGTCCTTGGTCCAAAACGAAGGATTGTGATCATGAAGATAGGTTTACCGCAGTCAGGACAAAGACTCACCCAGACGCGGCGCTGCGAAGTACTCCAGGTTGCGGGTGTCGTGTGGATCATGTCCGATGCTGATGTCCACTTCGATTTTGCTGATACTGATGTCCTTCCAGGGGACGACCTGGTCCCCGTACACCTTCCGTCCGAACCCCACCGCTTCCTACGCAAAACGAAAACAGGCTTTGAAAAACCTAAACGAAAGTTAATCTGCATCCAACCTCTTAGAAATCATGGTGTACAGTTCTTGACCTTTGCTAAACACAGATCAGAGAAGGAGTGTGACGTAAGGGCCTATTAACCATATCTGAAGTCTGACGGCGGACGATATCGACTTCTGGGCACCTTTGACCCCTGACGTCACGCAATCCTGACGTCACGCACCACACATGTACAGTGAACCTTAGTATTTTCGTGGTTGCTTGTATGATTAATTTCGTGTAGGGCTTGGTGTTACTTTATAATGCAAAGCAACCAGTTTCAACCACAGGTTAGTTCTTGCCTTTTGGTTCACTAGAGCTGCATCGTCCAAGGCGACAGCTGACGCGCGAAGGATGCCGGGATGGCTGGTGGAGAGGAAGTCGGGAGTGACCCTGCCCCCTGGCAACGTGAGGTCATAGGTCGGCAGCTCACACGTGACCAGGGAGGTCAGCTGGGCCGAGTTGGTGGCCGTCACGGTGAAGTAGAGAGGCACTCCTCCTCGCAGTACCTTGGAGACGAAACATTTGACAATTACTGACTATCAACCCAGGCAAAACAGTGTACAAGTCGTTTAAGTGCAATATTGCGACACATAAACTGCACTACACAATGTCAGTATGTACAAGGTCTTCAGGAGGCTTATTTGTGTTGCTAGCTGATCATTCATATAAAAGAGTAAGTTTTCAGACGTAGGAAATGTAGACTGGCCAAATTTTCCTTAGACGCTTCAGCCTTTGTCAGGAAAACTGACCCACTCAATTGTTAACATGTTTCAATTCCCTTAAAGAAGGCCGAAGGACAGGTTGAAAACCGGTGAGTGAGCATTTCTGGTATTGGACAAAAAGCGCAAGTCTTAAGAAATAACCAGTATCCAGAACCAAGTGGCTATATTTCTTACAATAGCATATTATATAAAAGAAAAACAAAGAATACCTGTGGCACTATGGTTGTAAAGCCTCCCAGTGGTTGGTTCAACACCTGGTCGCTGCCTCCCCTGGTGACGCCGACGGAGTAGGTGAGATCCACCTCGCTCCTGTCGTCATCCACGGCCAGTTCCAACAGGAAGGCCGGCTCCGTGTAGTCACGACCGTACTGCTGACGCACGATGCAGTTTGTGGTCCGGGCAGCACGTTCCTCCACGGGGCTATCAAACGGCTGCACAAATGTATTACGTCGATAATGGTTAAACAGTTACTAACATAACATAACATAACATAACATAACATTACATAACATAACATAACATAACATAACATAACATAAGCAATCTAGTATAGAAATTCTCTTAGGAGTCAGACGTTTCATGTAGCGATACCAAACATAACTTTCAGTCAAAGGCACTAATAATATCTGTACTAAGCTGAGACTGGCATTGCATGGATAAAAAAAGTACCTATTTGCTAAGTAATAATTTTTGATAAAGCACGTACATTTGCATAAACCTGGAAGTTAGGAGGCGACTTGTCCGGTTCGTCCGAGTTGATGGCGAATATGGTGGCATGGATGGTCGGCATGGAGTACTGCCAGATCAGTTTGTTGATCAGGGTCTTTCTGATGGTTTTGACTATCAGGGGTATCGTCAGCTCCAGGATACCACGGAGCTCCAGACGCAGGGGAACCAAGTTCATGTCCATTCGGATCCTGGAAAATAGCATTGCCAAAATTAGATTGCTGTTGGTCTCTGTCTATATCACAGTGACTTCCAGCTTCTCAGTTTTGAACGGATATGGCGACATGTTGTGGTATTGCCAAACCTATAATTAGACAAATCAACACGTATATATAAGGCAGGTCAAGTTTTGGATCCCACTTCTGACACCAGTTTGTGCTTCTTGTTCGATGAAGCGGTCCTCAGATGTCGACCCGGAACAGAATAAAGAGAGCGTAAATAACTAGGGTTAAATAGTACAGAACGCAGGTAGAGAGTGTGGGTAACTAGGTAAATAGTACTGAATTTATACTTGTATACGCAAAAACCATCCAGAACCATGGAGCTAGATAGGCTCGCAACATCAGCCACCCCCTTACCCCACATCCAATGGGAACTTGTTGAACCGTAGCTCCGCCGTGCAGGGGAATGACGTGGTCATGATGTAGCCCCTGATTTGGAGCCTCCCCTCGAAGAGACCGAGCGAAATGCCGAGACCGCCCCAGACCTGGGCGCCTATAGTGGGCGTCACTTTTACCTGTAAGAAGTATTAATGTGGGCATTGTCCAACAGTTCAAAGTTGCTACGAAAACTGCTTGTATCTATCAGTACCCGCATGCCAATTAGTTGTCAAAGCACTTACACCCCTTGCTCCTCTCTGTAAGGCACCTCCAAGTAGCCCTGTTCCTAGCCGTATCTTATGCTGCTTGTTTGATCTTCACAACGCTTAAGTTGCATCAGTACGCATAATAAAAGAACTATCTTGTGTTGTAGTCCAGCGAACATCTTACATATAGCTAGGTATATCAGGTTATGCACTTAAAGTACCTTAGATAAACGATACTGAATTTGGTGTTAAACGATTTTATCGTAGGGATTAACTCACAGCAGCTTTCATTGAAAGCAGTTTCACGTCTGTGGAAAATGTCAGGCCAAAGCTCCCTCCAGCTCCAAAACCTGTAATCCAGACCAAGTTTATAATTAGTAATGACATAGTTGACTCCGAGAGTCATAAAATTAAGTCTTTCTAAATACAAAGCCAGAAATGCCAAAGAGTTTCTACTCTAAGGTTTTCTGATTAGTGATGTGACGGCTATATAGTAGCGCTAGGATATTAGGATTTTCTTTTTCACAAGAAGCAATGCCTCTTACCTTCCTTACGTTATACTACGCATGTAGTACTGTAAACTAACATAAATGGTATCTGTATCTGTATAGCTATAGCCGATATAACCGCCCTTGAGTGTAAAACACTAGCTTGGAGTGGCTGTTAAAGTTGGCTGCTAAAGCCATCTAAAATTGATAAAGTGTCCCTAGACCCTACGGTGTTTGGTGTCAGCATGTTCCACTTAAAAAGGATACTTACGGAAAACCATGGGAATCGGTCCAAGCATGAAGTTGACTTGGTACTCGAAGAAGTTCACGTCCATCGGCCCGAAAGGAATTTTGAACGACAGAAACTTGTCCAGAGCTGTGAACTGGTCCTTGAAGACTTTGTGCAGAGTTTTGTCAATCGAGTCTATGGCCTGAGTGGAACAAAGCATACAGAAAACATGTTGGGATTGTTTGGATACAACAAAGAAAGATGCTTGTAAATTTTTTAATACATAACGTCAATGGCATCCTGTTAGTTGGGAGAAGCACGTCGGCACGCACTGTACGTGTATCTATGGGAAACTTGCAACGTAATTGTGCATATGGCACTCCAAAAGAACGTCTCATTTAAGGTCGTATTCGCGTACATGATATTAAGGATGGGTGCCCGTTTAAATGTTGTGTGGGAGAAAAGACATCGTCTGTCTGCATCGGACAAAATTCCAAAACGGAAACCGTGAAAACTCAAGGTTTCGCGCAGGCGTAGCGCGTTCTTCCGATGTGCTGTTGGGTTGGCGTAAAAAAAAGATACCAATGCAAAAAAGTTTAAAAGTAAAAAATACGCCAAATATAAGCCAAAGCACAAACAGCTGCTTGGAGAGTAGCTACATACCATGTCGCGATAAAGTTTCCGCAGTTCTTTTATGACCTTCGTGACGTCATCAGTAGTCAGACTGACTTCATCAATCAGCTTCTCAATTTCGCCTAGTGAGAACTTCTTCTCCAAATCCGCAACGCCTGGTGTAAGAGACAAAAAATACAATTTGAAGATTTATAAGATTGAAATAACATTATTAGGAATATTTAATGTGACCCCAATTTACCAGCTTTGTATTGGTTGTACATTTGTTATTTCACGTAGTAGTGTATCTTTGTTTATTTTGTGCGTTAATTTCTTTCCTTTCCAATGATCGAAGTCAGTAAGCAGGATTAGTAATGATGTTGGTGGCATGGCGGCATTAATATAAGTTGAAAAAAAAACTTGAGTGTGCCGTCACCAGGTCTTGTTATTAGATGTTGGAATGTAAAAAAAATGAATGAACACAACGGAACATACGTATTACTATATACGTATCTTGATTCTGAAACATTAACTGATTAATTAATAGGCGTACTATCACGCAAACGTGAAGATACAATTGCCTTTTCCTTTCTAAAATGTAGTTGATCACAACGTTTCGTAACGTTATAACTGCATAACATTTGATTTCCGTAACGTAGAGCTACTGGAATGAAAAAAATGCCTACTTCTCTTCCTTCTAGACGGTGCCAGCGCTGTTTTCTGGCAGGTACCCAGCTGAAGTCTGGTCCTACTGAAGACACTCTGGTAGGGGAGGCACAGGTCGTCACGTACCGAGCACAGCGTCACTTGGAAGGTGAGCTGAAAGATAATTTGGTTAATTTTTGAATGAATGAATGAACGAGTGAGCGAGTGAGCAAACGAACCATTGAATGAGTGAGTGAGTGAGTGAGTGAGTGAGTGAGTGAAAAAAGAAAAAGGAAAAATAAATCGTAATCCACTATCTGTATCTGTATAGTCGGTACACAACCGCCCTTGGTCGTAACACACCAGGTTAGTGGGCACGCGGCGCGACGGCAGCTAGCTTTATCACACCGAACGACATTATCAGCATTGATCTATTAAAAACGATTAAATTTTCTTACCTCCACTCCACCTGGAATCGCGGACATTTTGTACTTGAAGACCACTTGCGCGAGGTCGAGAATCTTCAGGTTTTCTTCTGTAGGTCCTGTATCTTCTGCCGCTGTTTTAACAGAAGTAATTTACAATTTAAAATTTAATAGAATAACACATTGAGCATAACTAGCTTGATTGATATGACATATACTTTAGGACGAAACATTTCTATCAATGTAATTTGTTTAAAGCAGTTAAGCAGGGTTATCTGTAGCGGTATAGTCGGTATGACCGCCCTCGGCGTAACACATGAGCTTCGCAGGCACGCGGCGCGGCGGCAGCTAGCTATATTACACCGGACGACCTGTTACGCACTTACTTTGCACATTTAACTGCATGAGTTGTTTAAAGCTTTCTAGTGATGATGCCGCAACTGTGCTTTGTGGCAACGAGTTCCACGAGTTTTTGAAGACCTCAAGTCGAGTTGGATAGAGAATAAAAACGTACCAAATCTGGGGCCGCTGATGTCGAAAGTCTTCTTCCATGACCCCAATCCGAGCGTCAGCTGCTTACTACAAGGGTAAATCATTGCGAAAGCGCTGACGGTCTGTCTGGTGAAGGCAAGGTTCAGCTCCACACAGCACGTCACGCCTAGACAGTTGTCCTCGAAGAAACAGTGCATGTTCTTGGGTAGATACTCTCTTAAGTTGGGACATCCTGAGGTACAAAAAGGAGACCTCTTTAAAACCCCAATCAACAAGCCCATACTTAGACCTGCCAATACCTCAGACGGCATTGTTGGTACGTATATCTCCTATATCAACTTTATACCAAGATAAAAATGGATGAAGACATCAATTGTAGCTTTGTGTCCTGACTGGCTAAGTACAGTTTGTCCTTATCGAGTACCTACAGGCAGTCACTGCATGCAAGACACGATATCACCGCAAGGATTGAGAAAAATTCATAACCATCATCGGTCGGCTGCAGCGCAGGTGATTGTAAGTTTCTTCCACCTAACTACAGCTACTTAAAAATAGTATTTAGTCAGTTGAAGTACATACGGTTTTCTGGTGTCCTGTAGTTCTTGAGCAGCGTGGCTCTGGAACCGGTGGCAGGGTTCCCTCCGTCGCGCAGAATTCTCCTCAGCGCAGAGTCATCGAGAGTATCTGGTACTTGGCAGGACGTCTTCTCTTGGTGAAGCGAGTCCTGATGTTAACGAGAGAAACATCAGCACAGATGTCCAGCTATCCTTCTGAGATTCATCTTTGTCAATGTTAGGCAAACCAGGCATGCTACCAGTGCAATGCATTATGTACTAATATTTACTACAACGAGTTTCAGACATGGCTTAGGTAATTATAACATCTTAGCCATTGGGATTATACTAAGAGGAATGGCAGTATGGCTTTGTCTTGCTTCAAACGGTCTACTCTTTATGACCATATTGCAACCACCCGGCCAACAGAAAGGGCTGTGTTTACATAGTATGCAATGCCACATCCTCGTAATTGCTTTCTGATAACGCTACTAACCAGAAGCCCCTCCACTGTCTGTTCAAGCCTGGCCTTGGTATCCGTCAGTCCAGAAGACGTCATGAACTCGAACACTTTGGAGAGTTTCAGGTTCCGGAAGTCAAACTCAAAGTCGAGCAGCGAGACAGTCTCCTTCAAGTCGGGAAGCTCCAGGCTGCCGACAAAATCTAGGACGGAAAAAATGAACAAACCAATGTAGCTCTCTCTGAAACATGTATGTTATAAGTGGGATGCGTAGCTTGCATAACAAAATTGCAATTACACATGCACCTTTATACATTTATACAACAAATGTATTCGCATACATATGGCATGTCTCAACAACCTTAGACGAGTAGAACACATCATATGGCTTTAGAATATAAGTGGGATAACACTGTTAGACATTCAGTGAGAAATCTTGATGAAGTTTTTTTTTTTCCTTCTCGTGCTTTCCTTACCCTTTGCTTGACCGAACCATTGCCCAACGTCTCTTTTCTTTCTTTTGTTGACGTCTAGAAACTCCTTGTCGAGATCAGAAATGTCTGGTTCCACTCTTGCAGGAGATTTGTCCTCTTCTTTGGCTTTTCCAAACTTCCCTCTGGATACGACTTCGTTCTTGAAATAACATGAAGAGCAGGACATTTACAAGCGGAATGATGGCTTAATGTTGTTTGTTGCTTTTTCTGAGTTAATCCGGTCTGCTGGCTGATTTTCATTTAGGTCATGAGGGAAGAGGTGCAGTTACATGATTGAATGCCTATATACATGTGCTATTACGGACAACTGTAGGTCCAAAGAAAGCGCCTTTATTATGCCGGGATTGTAAGACATTCTAAATACTATTGATAACAATCCGTCCGTATTTTACTTCTTGGAGTATTGTTTTCACTTTCAAACAAGCAAGAAAATCAGGAACGACAAGCAGCCCGGCGGCAAAAATAGATAACCTTGTTTCTACAGGTCATTCATAAACTGTGGATATGAAAATGTGAAAGTAGTAGGTTGACTGTACCTTGAACACCAGGTTCCAGTCTCCGCATTCCTGATCCCAGCTCGGGACCACCATGTCTCTCTTCTCCATGAAGCGAGTCGGGTCCACCAGACCTCCGGACTCCGTGTTTCTGATGGCCAGGTGGATGTGGTTAGGCTGGCAGGCGGAGGAGGACACTGTGCCAATTAGGGTTCCCTTGAAGACCTGAGGTTATGAATACAAGAAGCTTTTTACATACATGGGTAAAGCTAAATTCAAGGCTGGGCAGTCTTCAAATATGGAGCGGCGTCATCAAGATGTCTTGGAGACCGTCACTATCGTTTTTCAACTTGTTTTTTTTTAGAAGTACAATATTGATACATCTGAGCATCATTGCTTTCGTCTAAAAAGAAAAATAATTACTAACCGTTATGTAAAAGCAGGTACTACTACTACTACGTTCCTACTCTAAAACGTTGAGGCTGCTAAAGTTATTCTTCCAGAAGTACATAATTTCTGTTAGTTCTCAATCCCCCCTTAATCCAGTTTCAGTCTTGATAAGGGTCCTTAGTGTACACTATATGGATGGTTTCCTCTCCTTTGGCTTCTGGAGACCAGAAGAGCACTTTACTAGCTGGTTCATCATGTCGAGTTACATGGCCAGCGAGGCATAGCACTCCTGTGGCCTAGCCTACGCCGCTTGACTTCAGTGGAGATGGGTGGAAGGTTGGCTGGTAGATCAGTCTAGAAAGGTTTATTCTTTTATTTGTGAATGATCAACATAACTGAAAGATCGCCTTACTCGTTTCAGTTCTTTCTCGGGATTGAGTTCCACGTTGTTGATGATGACTTCTAGTTTCTCCATCGAGTCCGTCGTTATTGTCACCTGGTTGTCGCCGGACCTTTTTATGATGCCTGAAAAGGGGGCGCTGATCTGTAAAAAAAATGGTAAAACCATGTGAATTAGCTTGAGAATAGAACTTTATGTACTAAAGACAACATCGTAGGAGTGTATCCTGAATTGTGTTGCAGTTTGCAGTATGTACAGGTGTCTTAAACATTTGACCAATATAGCATTAACAGTAAGAGGTGTTGAAATATTGTAGTAT